GTGCTGGAAAATGAGCTGGTCTAGTAGTCCTGTCACTCCAGCCAATCCCACAATGATATGTGAAGTGGGCTGTTTGAGACCAAAAGGGCTGCCAGCCAAGTCCAGGCTGAATTGTGGATGGCAGACACGTGAACTAAAGAAATGTTTATTTGGGGACGCCTAGGTGGCTCGGTCGTTAAGTGTCTGCCTTCGGCTCAGGTCAGGATACCAAAGTCCTGGGATCGAGCCCCACATCGGGCTCCCTGCTCAGTGGGAGGCCTGCTTCTCCCTCTCCCACTCCCCCTGCTTGTGTTCCTGCTCTCACTGTCTCTCTGTCAAATAAATAAATAAAATCTTTAAAAAAATAAAATAAATGTTTATTCGTGTGTGTTTATTAGTTTGTTTTAACTCAGCCTTCTCGTGGCACTGGATAAATGAAACAGTGGCCACCCCAAAAGACAGAAAGGAGCAGAGCCCTCCCCGCCCCCCCCCCCCTCCCCCGGGGCTTCCCACAGAAGGGACAGTGAGCTCTCTCTGTGCTGTCACACTGAGACTTCGGGGTTTGCTTCCTACCTCAGCAGAGCCAGCCCTCTCCTGACTAAGCCACCAGGAACTGGATCACGGGCCCCCTTCCTACTCCTGTGCCTGAGAGGCCTGAGCAGAGGGCAGGTGGTAGACAAACATAACCGAAGGAAAAGCAACTAGACTCCAGCTCCGGGAGAAGAAGAACTGGTTTGTCTTCTGGAAGCCCATGTGCTGGTAGAGGGCCAAGGCCGAATGCTACAGCACGCTGGTGTTGAGGACGACTTGGCGGTAGCCCTGGTTGCGTGCGAACTGGAGGACAGTCCTGACCAGGGCTTTCGCTATACCCTGACGCCGGTGCGCCGAGGCTACGCACAGGTGAAACAGCTGCAACTGCTCCTTCGGCAGGGGGCGCTCCTTGATGGGCAGCAGGCCCGCAGTGCCCACCACCTGCCCCTCAGTCTCGACCACCCAGAAGCAGGAGCCGGGCTCACTCAGGTAGGACTTGCTGATGTCGGACATGTCTGTGCGCAAGCACATGACTTTAAACTTGGTCCAGGGGTATTTGGAGAGGAATCTCAGAGCAGTGAGGAGGGTGAGGCTGGCTACCAGGGCCAGGAGCCAGGAGCCAGAGACCAGGAAGAAGGCGAGGGACACCCCCAGCAAGAGCACCAGGGTTCGGGGCAGCTTCAGGATGTGGTGGAAGGTGGTGGGGATGTACTCTTCCATTGCCTGGGAGAACAAGTCCAGGACCCGCGTGCGGTGGCTCTCCGGGTATTTGCAGATGTGGTAAGGAGCCATGGAGGTCTGCTGTGTCTGAACCTCAAAGTCCACGAGGGGGTGAGGTAGGTGTCCCTGCACACCTTCCTAGCAGCCCTGGGGAAGACAAAAGAAGCCAGGTAAGTGCCCCATCTCTGCCACCTCCCAGGAGTGGGGGAGACCCTGCTCAAGGGCATTTCTGCTTTTGCCCTAGAGAATGTAGGCAACAGCCACTGGGAGAAGGTGTAGGGGCAGAATGATTTGTGTATGATCTTGGCTCCATCCCTTTCTAGCTGTGTAACCTTGGCATGTCACCTAACTTCTCTGAACCTCTGTTTCTTCATCTGTAGAACAGGGTAAAATACAAACCTGCCTTCTGGGATTGTTTCGAGGATTTAATAAAATAACACATACAGGAGCACCTGGGTGGCTCAGTTGGTTAAGCGTCTGCCTTTGGCCCCAGTCATGATCTCAGGGTCCTGGGATCGAGCCCTGGCTTGGTCTCCCTGCTCAGCGAGGAGTCTGCTTCTCTCTCTCTCTCTCTCTGTGCCCCTCCCCCTGCTCATGTTCACACTCTCTTTCAAATAAATAAATAAATAATCTTTTAAAAAATAAAATAAAGGGGTGCCTGGGTGGCTCAGTCGGTTAAGGGTCTGCCTTCCGCTCAGGGCATGATCCCAGGGTCCTGGGGTAGAGTCTCATGTCAGGCTCCCCACTCAGTGGGGAGTCTGCTTCTCCCTCTCCCTCTGCCTCTCCCCTGCTTGTGCTCTCTGTCAAATAAGTAAGTAAGTAAGTAAATAAATAAATAAATAAATAAATAAAATCTTAAAAAAAAAAATAAGAGTCAAACATCAAAAAAGTCCCAGGCTTGATACCCAGAGGAGTGTCCGAGGCTCCAGGCCTCTCTCAAGACACTGTCCTTCAACCTGAGTCCTCTCACCTGCTACCACAACAGACTTGAATGTCCAGGGCAGTGACAGGATGGCCTCTGCTCTCAGCCTCTGCCTGACATCCAGGAGAGACTGCCCAGGGCTCAGTCCGCCACCAGGAAGCACGCCCTCCCTGGCCGGTCACCTCATTGGCTGGCTTCTGCACACTGGATAATCATAAACCCCAGGATCAAAAGGCTGGGCTATTATGGAGCAGAAGCCCATTCCCCCCTGACCTCTGTGATCGCCAGGGAATTAGCCTGGGGGGGCGGTGTTAGCAGGGTCTGGCACATCTCAGGGGATCCTTGCCCTCGCAGATGGCCTACACTCTTCCTCCCACGGTGGTTCGGGCCTGGAGCATCTCCCAGCTGGCATCTTGATGTGCTGTGGTGTCCACCCTCGGCCCCTTCACACAGCTTCTAGGAGCCCGGGGATTGCACGCCTCGCCTTGTGCTGTCGTCGCAGGCTAGAGTCCAGACCCGCGGCGCAGCACGCAAGGGACCCTCTCCCTGCCTACGCTCTACCCGGTCTGAGGCAAACTGATCGTTTGCAGCTCGCCGCCCTCATCTCACTAGGCTGCATCGTCATTCGTTCGTTGGTTCGTTCGTTCAAGGCTCTGTCGTGTAGGATGCGGCGACTGCGCGCTCGGCGGCCTTGCCGCTCTGAGCAACAGCGACGTGCGGCTGACGGGCACGAGCACGGCGTGCAGCTGGTGTGTGTTCTGGTCGTTAGTCAGGGCCTGTGCCGTAACAGCTGTTAAATATTTTGCGCTGAGATGCACTGAAGCAGGGAAAAGCAAAACAGGAAATCCCTTCTCCGTGGCACGTAGATGCCGTCGAGGGGGGTGCTTCCGTCCCAAAACGTCGCGCGCGCCTCTCCCCTCGCCGCGCAGTCAAGCCCCGGCGCTCGGGTCTCACGGCTCCTGAAGCCAGACTCTCCTCGTCCGCAAGATGTGTGTGAAGTGTTACAAACGCTTGTCTGGCGCCATGTGGGAGACGGGGCCAGAGCAGAGGGCCTGGCGCGCCCAGGTGCTAGGAGCTCCTCGGAGTGGCCGGCAATGGGCAGACCGGTGAGGCGCGCGGCGCGGAGAGGGGCCGGCTGCCCTAGAGGGTGACAGGGCCTCCGGGAGAGGACCCTCAGGTAGACAGCCGAAGGAGAGGTGGATGCGAGCAGGGCTGAGTGAAGGAGAGCGTCTGGGGCTGAGGGAACAGAGGCGCGGAGACCCTGAGGCAGGACAAAGGCAAGGTTTTCAGGGAAAGGGGGCCGACGTGGCCGCGGAGGGAGGGAGAGAGGGAGGGAGTGGTGACGGCAGCTGGGGCCTGGGCTTGTAGAGCCTGTCGTCCCAGTTGTGGCGTTTGGACCCTACTCCAGAAGTGACGGGAAGCCATCGATAGGCTTTTACCTGGGGAGTAACACAGGCAGGGGTGCGTGCATGTACGTTGCTCTGGCTACAGCTGGAGAGTGAATGGGAGGAGACAGTAGTGGAAGCACATATTTCCCACCCCACAGGCTAGTATAGCAGTCCAGGTGAAAAAAGAGCCCCCAGGGACAGATATGCAGGTTGCTCACTGTTCAAGAGCAGCTGGCCGAGGAGGGCTAGTCAGAACAAGAATAGAGGCCCACTCCACTCACCAAGCCATGAGCCCTGGCACAGAGCTGAGTCTGGCCGAAGGAAAAGGTGACCTTTTCCTTATTTGCTCAAAGGCATCGCTGCCCACTGGGCTGTGCATCGAATGGGCTGCATCTGTGTGAAAGGGGTACCTTGTTCTGTGTTCACTAAGGAGCCACATGGGCTAGCAGAAGCCCTACAAGGGTAAGTGGTGGCTTGGACCAGAGTGAGGTGATCCAGATGGTGAGAACCAGCCCACCTGTAGGTGCATTTTGGGGGCAGAAATGGCAGGAGTTTGTAATGACCCAAATGGGAATGAGGATGAGAAAAGGGTCAGAGATGAAAGCCACATTTCTGGCAAGAACCTCTAGAGGATGCAGGAGGGACAGACTTGGAGAGAAAGATCATGACTGCCCCTAGTGGTACCATCTTGTGGCCTTCTGGTTAGAAACCATAGGCTGGCAGCTGGGGCCCAGGCCCAGTGGACAGAGACTGATCACATTCCAAGTCTTTGGCACCCAACAAGGCCACAAGGGTAGAGTTTAACATGAAATCTGAGGGGTGAGCCATGGGTATTTGCTCCATTGGTTTCATACATTTTAATATTTAAACATTTCAGTGTTAACCAAAAAAAAAAATGAACTAGGAATCAAAAGGGGCTCTAAAGTACAATTGAGTTTGCCTAGCGAGTCTATTATTAACCAGTCAAAAACCTAATAGTCAAGCTGAAGGGCCAGAGGTCTGCGATCTGTCCCCATGCCCTCCTTCACTGTATTCTCACTGGCGTCTGTGGTCTCCTCAGAACTCAGTGGTCTTGGTTTCCATTCAGGCTTTTCATCCTTCCTCACAGCCATAAACAATGATAATGAGAATTTATTGACATGAAAAAAGTCAAAATACAGCTCCAAGAAATAAAAAACTATAAAACAGTAGGTTTTAACTCATTTTTGGAAAAATATAACTTGAAACTAATGTACAGACATAAGCATGCAGAGAGAAAAGTCTGAGCGATCATACCAAATGCTGGCAGCAGCTGTCTCTGGATGGAGGACTTAACGGGTCATTCTCTGTGCAAAAGATGGAGCTTGGAGTGTGCTGAGGCTTCAGGCTCTTACCTTCAGATGGTGAAAAAGAGGCTTGGGAATCTACCTGGCTCTGCTCAGCGGGATCTAAGAGTCCAAAGGCACCTAGCTAAGATCACGAACTCCTAAAGGTAAGGCAGATGTGTTGATTCTGTTATTTCACGTTTTAACTATTATAGTGTGTACAATCCAGCACACTCACTATGTTGTGCAACCACCACCTCTGCCTGGTTCCAAGGCATGTTCACACTCCAAAAGGAACTCCCTGGCCCCTACACAGTCACTCTCTTCCTCCTCTCACCAGACCCTGGCAACAACTAACCTGCTTTCTGGATGTTTCATTTAAACGGAATCATGGGATAGACAAACTTCTATGTTCAGCTTCTTTCACTTTTTTAAGACTCACCCATGTTGTAGCATGTATCAGTAGGTCATGGCTTTTTATGGCTGCATAATATTCCATGGTAGGGCTATCCCCCTTTTGTTTATCCATTCATCCATTGAGGGACACTTGGGTTTTCTCCACATTTTGGCTGTTGTGAATTGTGCTGTTATGAACATTGGTGTCCACGTTTTGGGTTGAGCACCTGTTTTCAGTTCTACTGGGTATATACCTAGGAGTAGAATTTCTGGGTCGTATGGTGATTTTATGTTTAACATTTTGAGGAACTGCCATACTGTTGTCCAAAGTGGCTGAACTGTTCTACTTTCCCACCAGCAACGAGCCCTATTTTATTTTCCTATCTGCCTCAGCACTAGTGCCTGGTACATAAAGAGAAATCAGATGCCTGGCACTGTTAGGAATCTCTTTGCCTAGGCTCTGTTTGATATTCATGCCAACCTAAGTACTAAGGTTGATATTAATGTCCCCATTTTACAAAAGAGAAACCAAGGCCAGAAAAGCTGAGATCTCCTACCCAAGGCCTCACAGAATCACCATTATTCCAAAGGTTGTGGATTTGAGAGGAACATGTCACTAAAACCCCACATTTATATTTATGAAAAATATTCCTTACTACACCAGCGCAGCCCAGAAATGAGCCAGCGAGATGGACAGTTCATAAATGGCATTACATTTTGGAAGTCTCAGGGAGAAGAGAACATCAATTCAGCTTCATTTAACTTAAGTTCCCAGAAAAAAATCTCCCCTAACCTCTCCTCAGGGTTCCCGTTAACCCATCAGATCAATGCCCTGAACTTCTACTGAGAACTCATCATTTAAAGGAGATGAGTGAAAGAAAATCATGGCAAATCATTTCAAGGGGAAAGAAGTAGGTGGATGGGTCATCCTTAGTAAGGTGTTCAGGAATCCTAGGACAATGACTCCAGCTCTACAGAAATGTTCTGTAACCTTACAACTAATTGTCTGAGAAAGTGAGCCAGTATCAGGGTGTGATACTCGAATGAGGGTAACTCCCGCAGATTTTATGGATGATCCAAGGGGCTAATTCTGAAGGTGTGGGTGGGTAGAGGGGGACCAAGAACGAGGTGTATTATTGCCTGGAGGCCTGAAGTGAGGTGGGAGGGAGAGGTGACAGGAACCTGACCTAGGAGTTGAAAGGTTCAGGGACAAAGCCAGCCCACATGACCTTGCAGGGAGGGGTCAGGAGAATAAATATGTTGGCCTCACACTCTGTTCCCCTTTCCAGTCTACTGCAGGCCTCCCACTGGCCAAACCCAAGCAGAAGCCAAGGAGGAGTCGTCTTGCTGCCATACAGGTCAGTCTCCCAGAACAGGGGGTAAAGAGTGATCTGGAGGGGAACACGGGAGGTCAGTGGCACAAAGGACTATGAAAACATAGTAACAGGCAAATTTGATGAATACAGACTGCTCAGAGACCAAACAAACTAGGTTATGCTTTCCTCGATATTGTGATGTGAGCACAGCGTGGCTGCCGTCAGCAAACCGGAAGCAGGGAAGCGGCTGCAGTAGGGAGAGCAGAATGGCACCTTTCTGCTCTGAAAAGGCTCTAATGAGTTCAACTCCTCATCCCCAAGAATTCTACTTCAGAGAATCTGTCCCAAAGAAGGAGAAACATGTACAAAGATTTATTTGCAGAAGTGAAACATTGAAAGCAGTATAAGTGTGTAAAAATAGGAGACTAAGTAGGTATGTGACATACCAGCATCAATACAAAGAATGTGAGTGACGGCATGCGAGGGGCAGTGCAACGGAGGTGTTCAGAGCATGGAGCCTGGGGGGCTATTCGGCTCAGACTGTTAGTCTGGGGCAGCTGAAACACTGTCAGGGGAAGAGATGCCTTTGTAATGGAGACGTCTGGGGGAGGCACCACCTTAACCAAGGGATCAAACTTTGTATCACCAATGATGGGGTCAACGGACACATGCCTCCTGGTGACACGCAATGGCAAGGACACATTTACCTACTGTTACTCCCAAAAATATTTAACCTGACTTAAACCATAAACAAATCCAGACAGTGTGGAATTCTGAAAGATACCTAGGGTGCTCTTCAAAAAATGTTAACATCATTCTTAAGAGGTTTGCTTTAGATGAAAGGAGATGAGATATGACAACTAAACACTGTGTAGGCTGAAGTGCCAGGTCTACAACTTACTTTCGAATCATTCAGCAAGTGTGTGTTCGCATGTGGGTATGTACACACCTGAGCACAGATAGGAAAGCAAGAGGCAAGAGCAAACAAATGTAGCAAAATGTTAAGAACGATAGTGAATTCACATGAAAGGTACATGGACTTTTATTGTATTATTGTTGATTGTTCTGTAGGTTTGAAACTTTCTGAAACAGACTTGAGAGACTAGATCTGTTTCCTTGCTGGTAAAAATCTCTTGGGATTGTAGTAAGCACTAAATGAGGTAGTGCATATAAAATGCCAAGCACACTGCACACAAGAAATGTTAGTGATGTCTGTATGTGCTTTGTTATTTATGATCATGATAGAAATCACTAAGTATTTCCACCTCCCTGCTTTCCACCACGTGGCAGGATCACATTTCTCTGTCCCTTGTTAGGTTGGCAAGGTTACGTGACTGGCTTTGGACAGTGAAACATGAGATAAGCAGACTGGGTTTGAGTCACTGCCCCGTGTGTTTACTGCTTCACACTGGCTGTGCAGACCAGCGCGACACGGACTTTTGTCGTGTGAAGCCAATGAGCTTTAGGGACTGCAACTGAAGCCTAACCTAAACCAGAAGTCCACAAAGAATGGACCTCAGGTCGAATCCTGCCCACCATTTTTGTCAATTGAGTTTCACTGAAACACAGCCATACTCATCATTATGGCCTGTGGATACTATGACAGCAAGAGTTGAGTAGGTGCAACAGAGACCTTATGGCCTGCAAAGCTGAAAATATTTACTATCTGGCCCTTCACAGAAGTTTGCAACCCTTGACCAAGGCTGTCTTTACTACAATCAAAACAAGATAAAGTGAAAAAGAAAACCCAAACCATTTATAAAACATGACTTTATACTAGCTGTATGACCTTGAGCAAGTTACTTATTATTTGTATAATCTTTTAGTTGCCCTGTATGTAAAATGGTGGTTATACTAGTATTTACCTCCTCATGAATGAATTCTTGTATGTAAAACCCTTGGAACCAGGAGGCTTGGAAGGGAAATGCCAGAGTAGCCAGAAGTAAAGGCAGGGATATGAGCTGATGAATATAAAATCACTAAGGCAAAAACCTAGTAAACACCCAATTATTCCAATTACATAAAGATGAAATATATTTGAAGAGAAACAGAAGACTAGAAGACAAGAACACATAATAGCAACAGTGGCTATCTTTTAAAATATTAAGAGAGACTAGTGGTGGCTTTTTTTCTTTGTTGTACCATTCTGTGTTTTCTATGATTGAACATATTATAATCAACAAAGAAAAATCCATGTTTTTTTATAAATGCTGAAAATTTTTAAGACTTCTGTCATTTCACAAAACATCTTTTGTTGACATTCTACAAATGATACCATCCAATAATGTTCCAATACTTTCTTCTTGTGAAGATAGTTTATATATCTGTAAAAATAGAAGACAAATTATGGCATGCTAATATATTCACGCACTACTCATTTTCATCATACAAACATGTATAAGTGAAATTATCATTCAACTACTGGGATAATGGTATGAAATCAAATGTGATTAAAATATGCAAAGTAGATGGCAACTCATCACTATGTCAAAAAAAAAGTTCCCTTTAAATTGCAGTTATGGTGATAACCCTCTAAACACAGACACCAAATCTGTACCAATTTTAAAAGCATACATCTAGACATTAAAGATCAAGCTGACACAGGGCCACCTGTGTGGCTCAGTCAGTTAAGCATTTGCCTTCAGCTCAGGTCATGATCCCAGGCTCCTGGGATCAAGCCCTACATTTGCATTGGCATCAGGCTCCCTGCTCAGCGGGGAGTCTGCTTCTCCCTCTGGCACCCCCCCCATGCTCTCTCTCTTGCTCTGCGCACTCTCTCAAATAAGTAAAATCTTCAAAAACGATCAAATTTACACAGTGCATTTGAAATGTAAAATATAGAATGTATTTATTCTTAAAAAATGCTTTTACCACCAAATTTCTAACTATATTTTATATAAACCTGCACCTTCTAATTCTTAGCTTCTGTAATTATTTTCAAATAATTTTAATTACATTACACTTTCTTAAAAGTTCAAAAAAAAAAAAAAAACAACCCAGAAGCATTGGTGATCAATAGGCAAACAGCATCAGTATTATTCATCACACTCTTTCTAAAAATACAGATTTACAAACCTTTTTGACTTCTGTAATATTTGTTATGTCAGGAAGGTTTTTTAGAGAAACTTGATGACCTTCAACCTGAGATATTAGGTCTTCTTGATTTATTTGTTTTTCTCCCTCTTCAATGTAAACAATAAGAATTGAAGTGTCATTTGCTGAGATACCAAATTTTTTCAAAGCTTCTGAAATCTGAGAAAAAAAAAGTAAAGACAATAAACCAGTAGTTTTTATGTCTATCCCCATCAGCCTCCTTCTCTGGCTGGGTTATTTTACATTTCCTAATGGTTCTCTCCACCTAGTGTTTCTCTTCAACAGCCCTCCTAACACCCTCCAGCTCTGCCTCTGGAGCACTCTGCTCACAGCTGCACCTCCTTACTGCACAGTCAAGCCCATTCTTGGCATGGCACACAAACACCCCCTCCTTCTGATCCCCATTGATCCTCCAGCCATGCACACCTACCTTCTAGCCAGCCTGGACCGTGTGGGGGTCCCATCATTTCACACTTTTTTTCCTCATCCTCTGCCTGGAGTGCCCTCATCCTTCACTGCCCAGTACACATGGCATTCCCCACTGCACCCTCCTCCTTACAGGAGTTGCTTCCTTGCTGTTCCCGTAGGTTTGAGTTATTATTCCCACTATATCATTTATCTTAGAGCAGTTGGATTTTGTCATTTCCCTGCCTTCCTCAGGAGTGTATTTGTTTCTCCTGCCCTGGAACTGTAGCCAAAAGAGGAACCAGCCCAACAGATGCTTACTGAATGGAACAGTTTCTCAAGTTATTTCAAATGATCTCAAAGAAATAATTATCTGGTAACTTTTTCTCTAGGTACCAAGAAATTCTATTATCCTGCATTTTATAAACTTTATAAAATTTCAAACGTTATTTTAAATCATGCTACAGGTTTCCCAATTATCCTCTGGGTGATACTAGTACCTGGCTGTGTTATTAACAGTAGTGGTGATACTCAAACTTCATCAGCAAAATTTCAGGTTTTTTTGTTTTTTATGTGCCACAGATGGAATGTCTTTAGCTCAGTAACTTTGATTACTACCAGTATCTCAAACCCAAACTTCCTCACACCCGGGGGTGTGAGTGAGTCAGTGTTAAGGGCTGTTCCAGGTAACCGGCAGGCTTCTAGATATGGAAAAGACATGGATTCTATCCTCAAGGAGTTTATCGGGAGAGTAGATGTGCATGATAACACACAAATATCCATGCTTAGTGTTTTACCATTTAAATGTATATATCATGTAGAGGGATCTTCCTATTATATGGTAAGAAGGACAGATAAAACTATCCTCATTTCATGTAGCTAAACTTTTGTTTACTCATATGTGAAATGACTGCTAAGCTTATTTGTCTAGTAAGAGGCAGTGCTAAACCTCAACTCTGTCCAGAACTCTCTTAACTATTATTTTGCTTTGTTAAAAATAACAGGCATACAGGAATTTAGCCTCCAACCCAACACTAGGGAATACAAGGTGTATCATGACAAGGTCAACAGAAATAAAGTAAGTGAAATCCCTATTAATTACACTGTTATTTGGGGAAAGGTTGAAAATAATTTCAGTTGATAGAGTTCTTGTCTTCATTTTTCCCAGTTTGTAGAGATGAACTGCTTTGTTTGCTGCCACAAGTATCTGAAATGGATCAACAATCTACCAAAAAGAACAGAAAGAATTACACATGGAGCATCTAGAGATGCATGCCTTATCTCTTGGTAACTCCAATGTCAGGCTGTTTTTACTTCATCACAACTTCTATGGACTATGTTTTCAAAATTGCTGGGTGCTCAGAAAATCACAGAATTTTAAAGCTGCAAGAAACTTAAATAGTAAACATTTTTAAAAGAATGTTACAGGAAAAGCTATATTCTAAACATTTTACGTGTATTATTTTAATCCTTAAAACTACCCTGTGAAATCGGTGTTATTCATATGCAGTGGATGAGGAAACCAAAGCAAAGAATGTCTGGATTTGAATCCCAGCTCTGTCACTTACCACTGAGGGGACTTGGGCAATTCCTTAGGTTTACCTGTTAGATGCAGATAATCATAGTAGTTACTTCATAGGGTTGTTGTGAAGATTGAGTTGGTATATGGAAAGGAACAGAGTAAGCACTCTCTAAAGGTTGTCCACCACTTGCTCGAAGTCCTAATGGCAGAGCTGGGATTAAATCCTACTGCCACGGTTCCATGGTGTGTGCTCTTAAACACTATACATGCCCCCTGTGCAGAGATTTTTTTTTTTCCAGCTAACAGCTTTCTAAAATTTCTTACTTATTTTTAAAATTCTTTCTTTAAATTCAGTTTACATATAGTGTATTATTAGTTTCAGGGGTAGAATTTAGTGATTCATCACTTGCATATAACACCCAGTGCTCATTTCATCAAATGCCCTCCTTAATGCCCATTACTCAGTTACCCCATTTCCCCCACCCACCTCCCCTCCTGCAACCCTGTTTGTTTCCTAGAGGTCAGCCTCTCTTATGGTTTGCCTCCCTATTTTCATATTTTTTATTTTTCCTTCCATTCCCCTATGTTCATCTGTTTTGTTTCTTAAATTCTACATGAGTAAAATCATATGGTATGTCTTTCTCTGACAGAATTCTTTCGCTTAGCATAATACCCTCTGGTTCCATCCACGTCACTGCAAATGGCAAGATTTCTTCTTTTTTGATGGCTGAGTAGTATTCCATTGTATATATATATATACACATCTTCTGTATCTGTTGAAGGACATCTGGGCTCTTTCCATATTTGGGCTATTGTGGACATTGCTGCTATAAACATTGGGGTGCATGTGCCTCTTTGAATCCTGTGCGGAGATTTTTCTAGTTCAGATGAGAAGATGAAGATCCAGGCATTTGCCATTATGTCAGATCAGAACCAGACCACAACCTTTCTTATCTCCTGGGGAAGTTCCCGGCACTTTGGCTTCTATTCACTGTTAAATTCAAGGTTGGCCCAGTCTGACTCCACAGCTTGGACAAAAACTCTTTACCCAAAGATGACAATTTGAGGCTAACCTATAACATCATGAAAAATTAACAATCGCTTCAATGCCCTGTTATAGCTTATCTATTCTCACTTATACTTACCACCTTAGGGTTTATTAATGAACCCTCAATAGCACCTTCCATGGCCTTTTTTCTCAAGTCTCCAGCATTTTTTACATCTTTAAATAACAGAAGGGTCACCCTGCATTCGGGAAATAGGTCCAGCTGATGTGTTAACTGCATTTCAGACAAGCAGGATTCTATTTGCATAAAACCAAAAAGACCAAAAGACTTCATTTATTTAAAAGTTAATGTTATAATTCACTAAAAAATATCCTTAACAAATAAATTAATTTTAATAATAAGATGACAGAACTGTTAAACTAGAAGAATCCATCCCAAAAGCACATTTGGCATCCTCATGAGATGTCTTCCCACCCCCGCTGAGTTGTTTCTAGCTTCCTTTATCATTCCTCGGAAAGGATCAAGGTTGCTCCCTGGTTCCAGGATCTGATGCATGGCTGAGGGGAAGCTTCTCTAACTAACAAGTAGGAGTAGAATGTCAGGAATTCGTTAGACCAGAGGTTACTTATGGTATTAGTGAAACCTCACTCCAACTTAGCCTTTTTAGCTTTCTGGGCTTACCATTTTATGTATATTTTAGCAGAACCTAGACACAAATATTAAGAAAATAATTTGATTGAAGAAAGTATGACACCTGACTCAAAGATACTCATTTCACACATGACATTTAAGCAGAAAGGGTTCAATGACTAAAAAATCAATACTGGCCCCTTCTTAGACATAAGTTTAATAAGGAAAGCACAAAGACATAAAAGAAACATGAAAGACAAGAACTTGAGTAACTAGAAAGACAACCATATCCTTGAATTGAAAAAGTATTGCAAAAATTTGATATTTAAAACAATTTCAATCAAAGTCTTAGTGAGATATTTGGGTGTGGCAATTTGATAAATTCATTTTATTCTTTTACATGGTAGGTCCCATTTGTAGGACTCTTTACAAGGAATAAATTAAAAACCTATAAACTGATGGAAATTAGATGTCCTTCTCATCATTCTAATAGCAAAAAGTTGAAAACAAATTATCTAGCTAATAACGGGATTTGTGACTAAACCATTAAAAACTGTAGTCTTTTAAGAGCAGTTAAGGATGTGTGAAAACAGCAATAACAATGAGTAAAAACATCTGACTGAAAAACAAAACATAAAACGTAGCATAAATAGTGGGCTTCTCAAAAAAATGCATAAAAAATACTGAAAGGAAAATACACCAAAAAGTTCTGACTCGGTGGAATTACATCTGACTTTTTGTTAGGAAAAAACAGTATGTGTGAATAATGTCCTGGGCACACCGCAGTTCAATCTTTATTGTCACGGTAATGTCCAATTGGGGGGGGGAAGATACAGGAAAACCTAACGAATATATTCCCAACTACACAATAAAGATACACACAGAAAACAAAAACATGAAACATACCAAAATACGGCCATCTCGGGTGGTAGGATTATTGGTAATTTTTATTGTCTTCTATTTAAAAAATGTATTTCTGAATTTTCTACAGTGAGCACACAAAATAGGAATACATATAATCAGCAAGGAAAATAACTCTTCGCTGTTTATGTTTTCACACTAGGGGAAAAAGGACCCCTGGCAAAAGTCAAAATATAATTCCCTCACTTAGGCCAGAAACAGAATCATCGCTGGACACCTGCCTCTCGCTCAACAGTCTTGACGATTTTACCTCTTAGGTATCACTTCTAAGAGGTACCCTTACACTTCTCGCCCATACCCACCGCCCCCAACAACCTCGCTCGCTCATCTACAGCTGTGGCCTCCCAGGGGCGGTCGCCTCGCAGTTCCTGCCCTCCCATCATCCAACCTCCACCCGGCAAGATGAGCGATCCTCTCCAAAAGTAAGCCACAGCTGGTCCTTCCGCTGCTCGTGTGACAAAGCCCCCAGCCCCTCCAATCCGGGCCGTCTCTCCCTCCTCCGCTCGCAGGCGCGTCGGGCCCGCGCTCTTTCCGCCACCGCCGCAGCGGCCTCCCCGGCTTCTGGTCCCCGGGCTCTCGCCCCCGCTCTGACCTCCGACAGGCAGAACCCCGACTCCTTCCTCCCTCCCTTCAACTCACCGTTAAGAGTCCATTTACCAGGGCGCCCGGGGTCCAGGTCCCTCTGAGACGCGCTCCTCGGACCTCTCACGACGTCAGGGAGCCGGCGCCCGGCCCCGCCGTGAGGCGTGCCCGGGGCTGGCACTCCGGGCCCCGCCCCCAGCCCTCTCCGTCCGGCCCCGGGAGGACCCACACGCGCGCGCTCCCGGTCCGCTCGGAAGACCTTCCCCTCGGAAACAAAGCCCTCACTTTCCGGAAGCCGGGCCGTAGTCGCGTCCGCCCCTCCCTACACGCTTCTTCCCTAGCCTGAACCGTCAGCGGACGCGAAGGAGAGCTGGGGCCCCGTCCGTCACTTCCGGCTACCGGGATGGTAAGGACATGGGGACTGGACGCCGAGTTCTCAGTGCTGGGTCTCAGCCTTGTCTCCGACGCGTGTTGGGCAAGACGTCGGTTTCTTCCAGTTCAAAGAACAATGTTGGCCAGGATGAGCTCCACCTTCGTTTCCGCTACAGTTCTTTGCGGGCCAGACGGGACTTGTTCCCCTCTTGCTCTCGATGCGGTCGGTCATTTAGGGAGGATCTCCTGGAGTGGACTGCGGCTTGTCTCCGGTACCTAAGGTGACACGACACTGATGAAATCAGCCTCTTCCTGCATCTAGCAGGCTCAGAAATTTCTCATCCCTAAGTGTATCAGCCTCCAAGAGAGGAAGTAATCCCCTAAACGGGTTGCAGAGAATTATTTTCCATGTTCTATATGGTTGGAGCTCATCTTGGACAGTACTTTTCTTTAAACAGGTAAATTTACACAGGTAAATAACAGATATAGCTGTCGGGTGGATATGTGCTATAGAGAAAAAAGCAAGGAAAAGGGAGGAATGCCTGGCCGTGGGTATTACTATTTCAAATAAGATGGTTAAGATCTCACCAGAGAGGGCCCTTATAACTGTGACTGGAGGAGGTCTGAAAGCAAGCTGTGTGATCTGGGAGAACAGCATTCCAGGCAACAAAGAATTCAAAGGCTCTGAGTCACATAAGGCCTTCCCTAGGCCTTCCCCTATTTAAGGGATAGCAAAGAGTACCGTGGGCTTGAACACAGTGGGAATATATATGTGAAAAAGATATTCTGACCAAAGATTGGTATCCAGACTATATAAAGAACGCCTATAACTTGATAAGAGAAAACAACGTAATTATGAATGGGTGACATATTTGAGCACTTTACAAAAGACACAGGAATCAGGCCAATAAACACATAAGATGCTCAACATCATAGCAGAGTAATGCAAATTTAAAACATAATGAGCTACTACACACCCACATAACTAAAATTTTAAAAACTGATAGTATAAGTGTTGTCAAACACAATTGGTATTGCTGGTTTGAGTTTTATAAAATAGTATAACCACTTTAGAAAAGAGTGGCAGTTTCTTAATAAATCAAATGTGTATTTACTCAGCAATTTCATTCCTTGGCATTTACCAGGAGAAATGAAAACATGTACATACAAAGGCCTGTACATGAATGTTCACAGCAAGTTTACTCTTAATACAAAAGACTGGAAACAACCCAATGCCCAACAACATGTCAATGGATAAACAAATTGTGGTAAATTCATACAACGAAGTACTACTCAGAAACAAAAAGGAATGAATTACTGATACTTGACAATACTTGCAACATGGATGAATCTAAAAAACATGCTCAGCAAAAAAAGTAAGAAACTAGAATTTAATATATTACCATATGATCCCGTTTCTACAAAACTCTAGGAATTACAAATTTATTTTAGAGTGACTGGAAAGCAAAAGAGTGATCGCTGGGAATGGAGGGGTGGGAGACAAGGACTGGAAAGGACCCCAAGGGAATCTTTGCTGTGAAGCCAATGTTCTAGATCTTGATGTGGTGTTAGTTACATAGGGAGTAGGACTTTGTCAAAATTCATCATACTATGCACTATAAAAGTATATCTTATAGACTATAAATTATGCCTCAAAGTTGATTAAAAATAGACATTAACAAAAAGCGGCTTAGTTTTTAGCAGCTTATTTGTAACCACCCAGAGCTGGAAACAACCACAATGTTCATCAAGTGAATGGATAAGCACATCATATATCCATACAATGGACTACAACTTGGCAATAAAAAGGAACCAACTATTATGACACAGAATAACATGGATGAATCTCAAAATAATCACACTGAAAAAAAAAAAGCCAGATGTAAAAATAGTACATACTGTATGATTCCACTAACATTAAGACTGCAGTCACACAAAGCAGATCAGTGGTTGCTTAGGTAAAGGGCCTTGGGTGGAAAAAGGGAATTACAAAACAACACTAGGAAACCTTGGGGGTAATAGATACGTTCTGTCTTAATTGTGGCAATGGTTTCATGATTGTATACATGTCAAAAGTATCAAATTGTACATTTAAAAGCATACAGTATATCATGTCAGTTATATCTCAAACTTTATTTATTTTTTGGAGAGGAAGGTGGGGAGGGGCAGGAGAAGGAGAGAGGATCTTAAGCAGGCTGCACACCCAGCATGGAGCCTGACACAGGGCTTGATTTCACGACCCTGAGACCATGACCTGAGCCAAAATCAAGAGTCAGATGCTTAACTGACTGAGCTATGAGGGCGCCCCCTCAAACTTTTAAAAATCACAATGAGAAAATAATACATCCGTATTAGAATAAGGTACAATAAAAAAAATTGACAACACTAAGTGCTAGTAAGGATGTGAGCGATTGGAACTCCCATACCCTGTTGATGGGGATGTAAACTAGTACAGCCATTTTGGAAACATTTGGCAGTTTCTTATAAAATTATCTAACAATTACCTCATAGCAGCAATCTCACTCCAAGGGAAATGAACACATATATTCACACAAAAACCTGTATACAAATGTTTATAGCAACTTTGTTCAAAAGTCAAAAACTGGAAGTCTGTCAACTGGTAGATGGATAAACAAACTGTGATATATCCATACAATAGAATACTAACTCAGCAACAAAAAGGGAATCAACTATTGATCCCCCTCATGGATGCATCTCAAAAGCATTATGCTAGATAAATCACATCCAAAAGGCTATATACTGAATGATTAAACTCACATGACATTCTAAAAACAAAAATAGAGACCAAAAACCAAGAAGAAACAATGAATCATGGAACACTACACCAAAAACTAATGATGTAATGTATGGTGATTAACATAACATAATAAAATTTAAAAAAAAAAGCTATCTCAGGGATGCCTGGGTGGCTAAGTCGTTAAGCGTCTGTCTGCACTTCAGGTCATGAGCCCAGGGTTCTGGGATCGAGCCCCATGTCTCTGCTCAGCAGGGAGCCTGCTTCTCTCTCTCCCTCTGCCTGCCACTCTGCCTGATTGTGTGCTCTCTCGCTCTTTGTCAAATAAATAAATACAGTCTTTAAAAAATTTTTTTAAAAAGTCATCTCAGAGGTAAAGATGATCCCTTTACTACAGTTGCAGAGGAAGAGATCACTATGCATCATAAAATTAGTTTATAAGAGTTAAATGAGAATTTTCACAAGAGTATCAACCTTCTTCTCTGCAATATATTAACTTGCGTAAATATGCATAACTGTTACCATCTGATAAAGTGAGTTTAACCTGGAAGTGTTACCTGAACAAATGGGTCATGGAAGATACCAAGACTCCAAAAACTATTCCCAAGTCATGTGAAATAACCCCCAGAATAAATGCCTACCTACAAGTCTACAGCCTATACTTCTTGGTAAATTGTTACCTTGAATATAAATGACATTTCTGTATTCCTAAAGGTATAAACATTTGTAGGATCTCAATGTCAGATCAGGAAGAGCTCTGGTACTTCCCACTCTCCTATATATGGTTGAACAATTAAAAACCTATGACTGCCAAATTTATTAACAAGTGCTTAAGTGTCTTACCTAGGTCTTCTGGAAAGCAGAGCCTGAGGCAAGAATTAAAGTACTGGTGTTTTATTTGGGAAATGTGCAAAAAGACTGGTGAGGGTGAGGAAAAAAGGGAAGTGAAGCAAGAAAAGCTGCAAAGCAATGTGAGGTAATGGATTACCTCATAGGCAGGCTCCACAATGAGCCAGGAAGACAAAGGGGTCGTTTGGCACGTGTTTGCTCAGTGGGCTAAACTTTCTCTGGAAGGCTTGAAAGGAAAAACCTTTCCTGACAGTCTTCCACAGAAGGCAGCAAGGAGGGGGGAGAATTTGCCTGCCAGGCTCCCTCCTGTCCTGTGTTTCATTAATTAAGCCTCCCCAAAGTGGGAGCTTACTCCTCCACATTTCTGATCATCCCTTCATTGGCAGCTCAGGAAGTCTGATCCTGTGGCTGTCAGTAGAGCATCTCCTCCAACTCCAAAGTGGAGAAATGACAGAAGAGAGAGGACTTGGTGTGGAGGCTTTAAGGGCCTTGTTTAACCTGGACTCTAGTAAGCTCGGGGAATGCTAAGTAAGGTTTGCTGGCAAGGCAGAAAACGGGACCGTGGGCCGGGTGACAGATGGCGCCTTTGTGAAGGAAGAGGAGGTTGAGGGAATCTGAGACTGTGCTTGGAACCTTTCATGTAATAGGAGATATAAATGAAAGAAATGCTAGTGACACAAGGTACCTTGTAGGAAAAGGAATGATTCAATAGGGGGTAGAGTTGGGAGAGAAGGTTTTACTGAGATGGGCTTCAAGAATGGGCATGATTTGCTCACAGAGACCACAGTGCCATTATAGCCAAGGGAACAACCTGGAAGACAAAGACGTGTGGCATAAATATGTACAACACAGTGTACTCAGGGAATGGCCTGCACACTGAAGAATGGAGTAGAGTATAGTAGACACTTTGAAAAGTCAGCTGGGAGTCAGATCACGGGAAGGCCTAGACAAGGAGTTGGAAGTGGACTCCGAAGGCCATAAGCCATCCAAAATTTCCAAGAGGGGAATACCACAAATGAACTTGTTTTCAGGACATAATTCTGGGGCGGTTGTTGGAATTACATTAGAAAGGTGGTTCACACAGTTCCTACATGGGGCCTCCCGCCAAGGCAGGAGAGTTTGTGACTGACATTGCAAGACCAAATCATGACGGAGGACACTCAAAGGCCTACACTTCTGGGACACAATGTATAAAAATCAAGCTTGCCAGACTGAGGATAAATCCCCAACTCAATTTTATTGGCAGGAGAGGCTCATCACACTGGCTGAACTGAACCAATACTTTTATCTATACTTCTACCCAAAACGCCAATAAAGGAATTTTTACAGATTAAAAATTCACAAGATAATGGGGAGAGATACCAAATGGTAGATGAGAGAGAGCACAATAAAATTATCAAAGACAGCAACCATCAGAATAGAGAAAAATAAAACCTAAATGCGTGCAACAAGGGGAAGTAAACAAAAAGCAAACTTACAACATTATTATTACAAATCTACCACGAGACAACCAGAGCTTCCATCAGTTTTGAGGGCCTCAATCTTAAGTATGAAAAGATGGACAAAGGTCACCAGATATCTCAAGAATACCACTAACAGGAGAGACAGGCATCAAACAAACAAACAAAAAAGAAGAAGAAGGAAAACAGTTGATGTAGGGAACAGAAGAAACCTAAAAATAATTGGTAACTTTGGAGAGAAGAGAATACATTCATTAAAAAAAAAAAAAGTACTTGAAAAAAATGCCATTCAGAAAATAATATATGGAAGGTAGAAAATAAAGCTGAGGAAATTCTCCTGATTTTAAAAAAAGAAAGGGCAAAAAGGTTAAAAATGGAAAATGAGAAAAATACATAATTAACTTAGAGATACATTTCAAAAAATCCAATATTCAACTAATAGAGGTTCCTGAACTAGGTTAAAAAAGAAAGAAAATTTCCCAGGACTGATAGACACAACTTGCCAGGCTGAAAGGGCTCACTAAGTATACAGCACTGCAAATAAAATACTCAACACTTTTAAACATATCATGAAATTTCAGGACATTTGAGATAAAGATCCTAAAGCTTTCAGAGAGAAAAACTGCAGGTCCCAAATAAAAGCTCGAGAATCAAAATAGCACAGGATTTCAAGAGCAACAACAAAATGTGGAAAACAATGAGTAAATGCATTTAAAAAGTGCCTACCTACAAGTCTACAGCTTAGCAAATTATCAGTGGAGTGAAACAATAAACTACCCATTTCACACATGCAAAAGTCTCGAAAAGTTTACATCCTGTTAACCCTCCCTGGGAAGCTAAGGAAGCATATACTCCACCAAACAGGGAAGTACACCATGAAAGCAGCTATGGGATCCAGGAAACAGAAGAGGGGTATAAGAAATGACAAGGGTGACAGGGAAGATAAATCCCAGGGTAACAGCTATGCTCCAGGCATAGAGAACGATCAAGGTCCCTGTCATGGGCCAAGTTATGCTACCCTCCACCCCTGATAAATTCATATGTTGAAGTCACCTTAACCCCCAGAACCTCAGAATGTGATTATATTTGGAGATAGGGTCTTTATTTTATTATTTTTTTTAATTTTTTTAAGATTTTTATTTATTTGACAGAGAGAGAGACAGAGAGAGTGAGAGCAGGAACACAAGCAGGGGGAGTGGGAGAGGGAGAAGCAGGCTTCCCGCCAAGCAGGGAGCCCGATGCAGGGCTCAATCCCAGGGCCCTGGGATCCTGACCTGAGCCAAAGGCAGACGCTTAACGACTGAGCCACCCAGGCGCCCCTGGAGATATGGTCTTTAAAGAGGTAATACATTTAAACAAGGTCATAAGGGTTGGCACTAATCCAATATGACTGGTGTCCTCCTAAGAGGGAATCTGAACACAGTCACAGCTGGAAGACCATGTAAGGACAAAAGGGAGAAGACAGCCATCTCTAAACACGGAAGAGACCAGCCTGCCGACACCTTCAGCTCGGACACCTAGCCTCCAGAACTGTGAGAACCTAAGTTTCTGTTGTTTAAGCCACCCGGTCTGGTGCTTCTAGCACACTGACACAGCGCCCAACCGGGAAAAGGCCAAGAGGGCTCCAAGGAAGATTTCAAACGAAAAAGGATCTGTGTCTATCCTATCCATACGAAGAGAAATGTTACAGTGGTGTCGGGATCTGGGGGATGAACCGGTGATAGGTGCAGGGAAAAGCAGCCAACAAACGAGGCAAAATGAGAACAAAGGCAGTATAAGGAGCATAATCTCGGCATACTATGGCTCAGTATACCTAGGCAACAACATGAACTGAGAATACTGACTGAACCAGAAGTTGGGAAATAACTATACTGAGGGGTGAGAACAGAAGTGTGCATGTGGGTAAATGATGTGCACGAGCTAAATCTGCATCCTACACAGCAGGTCAACTGGTAATATCGCAAATAAAAAATCAGTAAGCAAAATAAACATAGTATTTAAACATGGAGGCAAATACTAGACGATAACCCAAAAATATTTAGTCTTGGGGCACCTGGGTGGCTCAGTCGGTTAAGTGTCCAACTCTTGATTTGGGTTTAGGTCATGATCTCAGGGTTGTGAGATGGAGCTTTGCATCAGGCTCTGAGTTCAGCGTGGAGTCTGCTTAATATTCATTGTCTCTTTCCCTCTCCCTCTGCCCCTCTCCCCCCATAAACTATTTAGTGTTTGCCTTTAAGGAGTGATAGGGATAGGGTGGGGCAGGGGGAGGGGCTATTCTTTTCCACTATAATCTCAGAACTATTTGAATTTTTTTTTTTAAGATTTTATTTGACAGAGACACAGCGAGAGCAGGAACACAAGCAGGCGAAGTGGGAGAGGGAGAAGCAGGCTTTCTGCTGAGCAGGGAGCCCGATGTGGGGCTCGATCCCAGGACCTTGGGACCATGACCCGAGCCAAAGACAGCATCTGAGCCACCCAGGTGCCCCGAACTATTTGAATTTTAAACTACTCATATGTGTTTTTTAAATAAAAGTGAAAACTTTAAAAGCTTAAAAGGCTACTGAAGACCTTTAAAAAAACGGAAGTCACTGGTCCCTTTAGCCAGAGGACTCAGTGGGTACGGTACTAGCAGAAGCCAGAGCTCTAGGGTGGTGAAGAATAAATGAGACCTAAGAGAGCAAGAGGAGCCTAGTTTGTTTTGTTTTTAAGGAGTCTAGTTTTTTAACAAACCATGTTGACGACTGAAATGGGAAGGGGACAGAGGGGACGATAGGGTCACATCTTCTGAAGGTAGCAGTACCTCTGATGATGGCACTTCTGCTGGCAATGTCCTCCTCAGAAACTGCTTGCCAAGGAAAACTATCAGAGTAGCTGGAATCCCATGCCTGCCCCTGCTTGTTCTTTTATGGCCCACCAGTTAGCTGTCCGGCTCCAGTTTCAGTCCACGTGAGCCTTCACGGTATATCCTGGGCAACACTTGCACAAGAGCAGCCTTTCAGCAAGGACTTCTGTACCTCTGTCACATGTGGCAGGCAGAGGAACACTTCATGCCTGAGCTATCGCTCAGATGAGGAGGAGCGGTGTGACTGGGCTAATGACTCACAGGCCAGAGGCCTGGTTGAGCTAGAGCACTTCCCTACGGTCCACATGTTGTTCGTATGTTCATATGGAAAAGAGGATAAAGAAAATGCCTGTCGCGTGCAGTAGGAGACAGTCTAGGATACAAATCTGCAAAGTCAGAGGCCTTAAAAAAATGAAGCCACGCTGCCCCAGTATTCATTGAGTATCTACTGAGGCTTATGATGTCATGCTGGTGAGACACTTTCTGGAGCAAACTTAAGGTCTCTGGCTTCCTCTGCAGCTAAAAATATTTAACACCTCCCAAGTGATCCATCTATATGTTCCAGAGGTATACCAGCAGAAAAGATAACAGAGAAAGTCAAGGTCGAGGCACCACTCCACCATGAGGCACGTGGAAAAAGATCCCAGCAGGTTCAACAGAGAAGCAATAAAACAAGGAGCCATCCTTGTCCACAAGTCTTCCAGATATCCCAGGCTTTACGTGTTGTAGCCTATTCTGTTCATTAAAGAACTTTTGTAGTCTATAGAAGTTTTCAAGTTTTCTGAATAGTTCTACCCAGTTGATAACAATTACCCTGTCAGGTAAATTAACCAGCATTCTGGTTTATCAGTTCCTCTTGCCCATATGACCGTCAATTTACCTAAAAGTTTATCCATTCTTGTGTTAGATGGCATATCTGACAATGCAGTGAAAGAAGTTGGTCAAGTCCCACAACAGACTGCCAAAGAAAGAAACGTCTAATCACAAAAATACCATCACTAATTTCATATAGATTTTAAAGAGATTGTCTCTTAGGTAGGTTTTTAATAGAAATCTTGAACAGTTAGGGGGAAAAAACGATAGCCTTAATGATTGGGTCAGTAATAGAACACGACAAAAACACCAGAAATTTCCGCACATACACTATCACAAGTCTAGTCAGAAAGAAATACATCAATAAGGAAGACAGAATTTTTAAGAAAATAATTTACAAGGGAAATTCTTTATTACTTTCTCAGTTCTAAAATACCATCTTCCTTTTAAAAAATTTAAGACTGAGTGACAGATTATTTCCTTTACTGTTGCAAATACTGCAAGTTTATCAGCCAAGAGGTAAGTATCAATGTAATTTTCCTTTAAGTTTGAACACATGAGGGAGCAATAAAACAGATTATAAACCTCATTTGACCTGATCTTATAAAAAGTCACTCCAGCTGGTCTTCAGTCCTGCTCTATCTGCAGAGCGATTTCCAGGACAGGTTTGTGTCATTCGGTCCATCCGCAATAGGTCGGACACGGCAGTCTGTAGTAAGTGCCAGGGTACCACACTGTATTCTGGGCTGCTTGACTGGCGTTCGGCTTTCTATTCCAAGAGTACCGCCTTTGTGAGTAGTCCTCTCCAGGGGGACCAGGAGGAGGGACATGGCCTCTCTGGTAAACGTTCTGGTTCTGTGAAAATTTTCTTAAAAGAAAAAGTAATGAATTATTATTAGTTTTAGTAAAATATATTAAAAAGCTTTATAAAATAATACAGACACTCTGGTTCTACTGTCTTCTGCTTGTACAACCTTAGCAGATAAATTGCTTCATCTCTGGATTACTTACTTCTTTATAAAATGGAGGTAATACCTTCCATTTTCATGGCTTGTTTTCAAGGTAAATTAAGACAACATATTTAAATTACCTACCACAACACCTTGGCACACAGTAGGTTCCCAGGAGCTATTCCAACCTTTCCCTACAGAGATAAATGCCCACACTTTTCTAATCAAATACTTTCTCCCCAAGTCTTACAGTTGGGGAGATGTGAGACAGTATTAAGGTATTTATTTTTAAAAAACAGAAAGCTGCTTTCACTTTATAAATACATATATAAATTAACTATAAAGTGTAGAAATTCTAATTATTAACTACACATGCAACAAATTTGGAAAATTAAGACTGAAATTTAACTGCTTCAAAAGCAAGATCGGTAAATTTATTACATCATACTGGAATTTTACTACTTTTTCCTATAATTTTTATTTACTCTTTAAATAAGAACCTTCTTTATTCTGCAAACTATACTATTAATAGAGCCTAAGAATGCAAGATCCTTTTTGGTAATCACATCAAATTGCTGGCTTAAACTAAGTTTAGAATCAATGCAATTTTCTAGGTCCTTTTCCCAACTGCCTCTGAAAAGTCACATATTCCTCCCCATCCTATACTTTATTTTCCAGCCCTGAATGCAAAATATGGAGCAAATGATACCTCTAATCAGCTGACAGTGATCAGCCAGAAAACATCAATTCTCACCATTCTCAAGTGTTTGCAATAATTTACAATATAAATTTCTATTTCAATTCTAGAAAAGGGGACAGCAGAGATACCTTACTGACTGTTGCAAATCCTGGGTCTGGGTGTGGAAATGCCGAGAAGGTACTGGGTAACCTTGGGTCTGATGTAGGTTATACCAATGTCCTTGGTTAACAGACTTAATAGTGGTGTGGACTGGTTCCATCATATGTGTTGCATCTTCAAAACCACTTGATCTGGATACACTGGAATCCCAATTCCTCAAAGAGAACATTCCCACACAGTATTACTGGTTTCCAAATTCTGTAGCCAATTTAGTTAAGGATATTTCGGCCCATGAAAATAACAATCCATCCTCCCCTCCCTGTTTCTTTAGGGTTCCCCGAGCAAGTAAATAAGCTACAAGAAGAATGGATATGTGCAGCTTAAATGATATAAAAAAAGATCTCCCTAACCAGAGATCTCACATAAAAAATGCAACTTACTTTCTGATGGGACCTTTCTGAAGGTCTTCAATGTAGTTTTGTCTTTCCAAGCAATGTCCGCGGCACCTATTGAATACTGAAGAGTGGATGAACTGTTAGAAATCACTGTACAAATAGCAAATCTTTCCCAGAGAAAGCAGATCAAAGCTGAAATCCAGTGACTAATTATTCAGGCAGTTATACCTCACCATTTCCAGACACATCCCTTTATAAACTTTTGGCAAAAGAATGCACTGTGTCAGAGCAAATGAATTACAAACATTTCTTTTTTCTAAAACTTGAGAAATTCATCTACATTTCCACCTTCAACTTTTATAAAGAGGAAAAAATAGTGACAACCCTCATACTTACATTCAATTGCATCATCTGGCCTCATGCCATGTACATCAATCAAATATCTAATAAAACAACATAATTCAAGTCATTTATATATACGAAAAGAAAAAAATCAAGTGTTTTCAAAAAAAGTCCAATTTCACTTACAAATATAGATCTAAAAATCCTAAGAAAATATTAGCACATCTAATCCAATAATTATTAAAGAATGATATATCACGACCACAAAAAGACTTTATTCCAAGGATGACCCAACTTTAGCAAATCTATTAATATAATTATTTACATTAACACAATTTAATTAATAAATGAAAAAGAAAATACAGGACCAAACTGGCAGACGTTAAAAAGGTATCTGATAAAAAATACAAGTCATTTTTGTTTTTTTGGTTTTGTTTTTAATTTATTCATTTGAGAGAGAGAGAGCGAGCAGAGCAGGGGGAGGGGCAGAGGAAGAGGGAGCAGCAGACTCCTCGGTGAGCAGGGAGCCCAACATGGGGCTCAATCCTGGGGCCCTGGGATCATGACCTGAGCTGAAGGCAGACGCTTAACCCACTGAGCCACCGAGGTGCCCCACAACAGTCATTTTTATCAAAGTGTTTTGTATACTAGAAACAGGAGACAATATGACAGAGATTTATCAGGAACCAACAATAGCAAAAAACAAATTGGGAAAAATATTAACATCAAATCTAAGTACCATCTAACCAACTGTATGGGCCAGAAGCAGCTTAGGAGTCACTCTCACTGCCAGCCATTTTCTCCCTCACCCTCATCTGCAACATACTACCAAGTCCTAACAATGTGCATCTCTAGAATATGTCCACATCCTTCTACCCAAATGACCACCACACCCTGGTCCAAGCCACCATCATGCCTTGATTTCTACAAAAGCCTAACTTTTCTCCTTGCTTCCATTCTTCCCCCAGCCCCCGCAGCATATTCTCCAGTTAGCAGCAAAACAATGGCTTGAAAATGCAAATTTGATTATGTTCTATATACTCACCCTTAACACAAAAAGTTCAGTGGTTTTCAGTTACTCTTAAGATAAAGTCTAAACACAGACCCGCATGATCTAGCTCTTCCCCATACTTCCAGCTCCATTTTAAACTTTTTTTAAAGTAATCTTTATGCCCCATATGGGGCTTGAACTCAAGACCCCAAGATCAAGAGTCACATGCCCTTCTGACTGAGTCAGCCTGGTGCCCCTCCAGCTCATTTTAAACTTTTTTTTTAAACTGATCTAAAAAAAAAAAAAGTAATCTACACACCCAACACGGGTCTCAAACTCATGACCCTGAGATCAAGAGTCACATGCTCTCCCGACTGAGCCACCCAGGCACTCCCACCTCCAACCTTTTTTTTTTTTTTTGAGCTTTTCAGCTCCATTTTAACACCGTATTTCCCATGGCCCAGCCTCCCTGGCTCGTTCCAACACAGCATATGCTTTCCTATTATTAGTCTTTGCTGTTCCTTATGCCCAGAATTCTCTCCCCAGTGTCTAACAGGTTAATACCACAACATCCTTCAGATATCAGCCCAAACATCCCCAAAGAAACATTCTGTATTCTCCATGCCAAGGTCAAATCCCTCCTATTAACATGCTCTTATGTACTATGTCCCTCTCCTTGGCATTTGTCAGAGCTCTAATTCCACATGCATTCGTGTGATTCCTGAACGTCTACTCTCTCTAGACTGTTGAAGAGTTCTCAAAAAGCAAGTCAAGTCTCTGAAGTCTTTCTGCTAGCACCCAGCATGGTGCTTACAGAGAACAGATGCTCAGTCTTTCCTGAATGAACAAATGTATAAATTCTTTGATTCAGAGATTCCATTCTGAGTGAAATTATCTGAGAAAATAGCATATATATTCAAATCTGTTCATAAGGGAATGTTCACCGATTCAGTGTTTTAAAATATTAAAAACTTCTGACTTTTATGTTCATCAGGAAGCAAAGGAACAATGCAGCTTCTAAAAAATAATAAGGTTTCCAAATACTTTCACAGGAAGATGCCCACGATATATTAAATTATAAAACAGGGTATCTAAAATATTACACCATTAAATTACACGTATATACTTGTACCTCTCTGCATTTTTAAGTCTGAAAAAATACGTACTAAATTATTACTGGTGGTAATCTTTGGGTGAGGAGCAAGACTGCTTTCTACTTCATACCTTTCAATACCGACTGCACTTTTTGCAACTAGCTTACGCTACTATTGTAAACAAAACAACTTATACGTGGTCTGTCTTTTGGGGTTGGCAACTCACCTGCAGATGAGATAGCCAGTCCTGTTTAAACCATGGGTACAATGAACACCAATGAGTTTGTCTACAAAACAAGGAAGAGAGAGTTTAAGTAAGTGAAGTAGATACACTTAAAACAAATTCTACAATTTTCTTTAGAGTACCATTTATTAGTTGCCACAACACTACCACTCCCCTGAAGAGGAGTAACTGATAAAGAGTGTGTTATTTTAGGAATACACTATAAAGAATTATCTAACATAAAGCAGAAATTCACTGCCTCTGAGAAATTCTGCATAGCCCCTCTTAGCTGCAATCGTGTAAACTGGAGAAGGCCTGGTCAGGTACTAACAGCTAAAAGGGCATTGAGAGGAACCCAGCTTCTTAATATAGAATGTCCATCAGCAACTGATTTAATTATAGAAAATGAGAGCAAAAAGAAAAAAAAAACAGGCTAGAAGAATGAAACTTGTTTTTGAGTGAGACAAATCAAATACCTTTTCTTTGGATACTGAATATGAAAAAGAACAGTTTCTGCGGGACTCACGAATCCCCAAAGCGCTTCCGTCCCTTCTCTCATTTGCTGCTTCTCACACACCACAGTCTGTGTGCTGGTGAAGCACCCGGGGAAGCAGCACTGTTCATATTTTATGATGAAAAAGTGAGAATTGGAGATGTAAGCCCAAGCTGCACAGCAGGCAGACAGAACAAAGACTAGAATCAAGTCTAAGATTTTTCCAACCCGTGCCATAGTATTTCTTAGTCCATCATTAAAAAAAATTACGCAAGGGGCGCCTGGGTGGCTCAGATGGGGAAGTGTCTGCCTTCGGCTCAGGGGCTCAGGTCATGATCTCCGGGTCCTGGGACTGAGCTCCATGTTGGGCTCCTGGCTCAGCAGGGAGCCTACTTCTCCCTCTCTCTCTGCCTCTCCCCTTGCTCATGTTCTCTCTCTGCCATCTCTCTGTCTTAAATGAATAAACAAAATCTTAAAAAATAAAATAAATTAAAAAATTATGTGAGAAATTAAATAAAAAACGATCAGGTGTAGTTGATCTCTGCAAAATGTGTATCTGTGACTAGGAGGTGTCTGGTAGGAAAGCACTCACCATCTCCTGCCCGGGTTACTATCTCCCTACCTCTAAATTTTGTCTATTTCAAGTGACCCTTCATATGGAAGATGTGATCTTCCTAAAATATAAACTCGTAGGGTTGCTCCCTTGCTTAAAAATCTCCACTTAGCACAGCATTTAGAACTCTTTATAAACGGTATCATCAATCTCTCCAACTGAACTATAAGACTACAATGATTCAAACTAGAACTTACAGGGACCTCCTCCTGCCCCCTGCCAGCCTCTCAGATCCCATTTTCTACACCCTGACCACACACACGTTCCCCACTCCAGCTACACTGGCCTCCTTACTCAAACATGCCAGCATAGTCATGCCTCAGGGGCTCTGCACCTACTATTACCTCCGCTTTAGAACACTGTCCCCCCAAACTCCCCAGATAGCCAATGGTTCCTCACTTCTTTTAAGGCTCTACTCAAATGACATCTTAATAGAGAGGCCTTCCCTGATCACCCAACACACGCCGTCACTTCTGAATCCTGTTTGCTAATTCTCCAAAGCACCTTATCACCATCTGACATTTCATATACTTATCCCCCTCCCCCACTAGAATGCAGAGTATAAAAGGGCAAGAACTTTCTTCTGTTCCTGCTTCCTAGAACAGTGTCCTGTAAATGTTTGTTGAAAATGAACATGTGAATTCTACGCCCTTTCACACTATCCTCTGGTCATTCCAGAGGCTGCTACTCCCGGGCACAAGGTCAAGGCCTATGCCTTTTGCACCTGTTCCCCAAACCGGGACATTCCTTTTCTCATGCTGGCAAAATCCTCTTCCCCACAGCCCAGCTCAAATGCTGTCTCCTCAGTCAGGCCTCCCTCAACCTCTCCTCCATATTCCTGTTGCACTTAATTCTTTTATTATAATTAACCCACTGTCTTATAGGTGCCACCCATTTAACTTCCCAGGTAACTGTTAGTTTCTAATGAACAGAGACCGCTATCACCTCTGTATCCCCGTGCCCTACCCACAAATCTAAAAGGCTCTCGGCATGTACCGAATCAACATATTTTCTGAGTCTCTACCAGTTCTAGGGAGTGGACAGTCTAGTGTCCTCCTCTTCATCGGGGAGCCTGGTATCTGTGGGAGGGGCCTAGAGCAGAGGTAGCCAACACGGATCCTAAGCAAGCTCCCGAGACCGCCAGGGCAGAGAGCACAGCGAAGTCAGCACAACACAGGCAGACGACCAGCACGGGGCAGCACGGCAACAAACAGGATCTGCAGAGCCGTTCACGCGGCCTCGGACGGGCCTCTAGCCCTCGCAGAACAGAAGGGGTACCGGAGGGCAGCTGCACGCACGGGAGCCGGGATGCCGCAGGCAGGACGGCAGTTGCTCCCTAACGCCTCCCGTCTTACGAGGTAATGTTTCTGAGACACGGTAACACCAATCACAGAATCGACCTCCTCCTTAGACGACGTGGTTGTCAGAGGCAGGGCCGAGCCTCTCAAGTTTTAAAGTATGGGCAAGATCTGGAAACAGGCCCTAAGATACTTAAGACCTAGTGCCTGCGTTAGGCAACCAGGTTATAGTTTGAAAAATTACCTTAAAATTCCCATCTCTTTCTCTCTCACCTCCCACCCCCTATTTTCCCACCTCCATCTCTATTTTTTCTCCCCTACTCCGTTTGTGTGTATGTGTATATATGGAATATTTACTCTGTCATACTTATTTAACAAAACACACTCCTCAAGCTAAAGTTAGAAAAAGAACAAAATGAGCACTTGGTCCTGTAAGTCAGTGGCTTTCCAAAGACAAAGGATTCCTCAGTCTTAAAATATGGCAAATACCACATTCTTTCTGATAGCCAGATGCCAGAAATAGGTAGGTGGATCCTTAAAATTCAGAAGCTAATAGCTTACTAAGATCTATTTCCCACACAGTAAGGTAGATCTTAAGGCAGGAACAAGAAACACCAGCTTTTTAAAGCCCTTCTGTCTGAATGAGAGGTGGTCGTGTACCCCTGCGTCTGTGCCCAAAAGGGAAAACCGGCAGGAATATCTGAAATGTGCACGATGGGGACGCTGCCCCACTGGCGCGCCTTGCTTTGCTCTGCTTCCAGGGCTCCGTCTCCAAACTTTTCCTTTTGTTGTCTCTCTTACATACCCTAAGACCTTGACATCTTTTCTCCTTGTTTTCAGCAGAGGGTCACACAAGCCATGCTCCCCATACCTCTGACCCAATACCCTGACACCCTTGACCTTTCCCCCCCCCCGCCTCTCACCTCTGAACCAATAAATAAGACAAAAGAATGTTTTTATTTTAGTATATATTTCCCAGTCACATATTTTAGAGAGAGAGGAGGAAGCTAGTTCATTCACATTTCTCGTTAAAACCACTTCTCAAACTAATTTGTGACTATAAAAGGAAAAACACCTCACTCTACCTGCACCATCTGACACTTCTACCTTAACATTATCATATACAACAGGCCTAATGGTAAAACTATTAAAAATAGTAAAAATCCCAAACCTATTCAAAATGCATACCAAAGTTCAGGTAAGAGAAAAAAAACCAAACTCACCGTTATCTGTATTTTCTTTTAAAAACTCATTAACAGCACATTTGAATTTAAAAATAGTGTCATCATCAGGCACCTGATGCCCAATTGTATAAATTTTTATGTAAGGAATAGTTTCTGGTAAGTCCTGTAAGGCAAAACCATGAAAATGTGTATTATTTCATCTGTAAGGAAAGAAGTAAAAAATAATCAGAGAAGCCAGACTATAAACCAAGAGATTATTAATATAGTCTGTCAGTAATTCTGATAAAAGAGCCATTTTTTCCCCGGGCTGTTCCAACCAGGAAGTATCATCTGACTTTCATTAAAACTACAGAATGGAAAAAAACAAAAAACAAAAAAACCCCTACAGAATGGATAGGCAATAGGCATACAAGCCTGAAAGCCAAGTCCATGTGAATGAATGCATATAAAATGATGAATTATATAAGTAGTTCTACTTATTGTTTTATATTTTAAGGGTCATAAAGCAGCTGTGATTTAAGCAGAACAGTAGAACAGCGTCAGAAAAACTTGGATTTGAATTGTAAGATAAAGCAAATTGCAGGCACTGTTGAGAACCGGTATTCTTGGGGTGGGAGAAATTAGACACCAATAAAAGTGGTTAAGTGAAAATCCTATAGTTCTGAATTTAAATGGAAAGTACCAGTATGAACCTATATTTATTTTATATTAAAAATAAACATATACATTTCCTAGCCCTGACGACAGAAAAAGCCTAGAAACAACTAATGTCATGTCTAAAAGACTCAGGAGCACTGAGTTTCTAATGAGAAACACTGAGAAGCAACTGGGCAAAGACAGGGCCTCCATTTGTGCCTTAATGAGAATAATAACTGCAATGAAGTACATAGTGATACAAAAAGTAAATAAATAAAATTTATTGGTCACCACTGGAGGATATTAGTGAATCAACTCATTATTTTGATACCTGTTAAATAAAAGGAAAGAATCATGCCTCTGTAACTGGTCAACCAAATAGATGATGAGGGGAAGCTTCTCTTGATAGAAATACCCAGCTAATAAACGAAAAAGGAATAGAATTCACTATTTTCTGAAGTCCCAAATGAATTAACGGGTGTAGATATCAATCATCAGTGACTACTAGTATCACAAAAAGAGATAATCACTTTATGTCTCCACAGAAGACATCATCACCTCTGAAACTGTCTTGCAAAAAAAAAAAAAAAAAATTCAAGCCTGAATCTGATCAAGCCTCTACGTCCAACTACCAATTTACAGGAAATAAAAGGATTGAAGAATATGTTAACAACACATGCGGAGGGAATCATCAAATCAGAATGAACTACCTGGTTTCTTCAAAAAATAAAATTCACCAGGGGAAAAAAAAGAAAGTAAGAGAGACATGGAGGGAGAATCTACAGACTAAATAGAACTTCGGGGACCTAATTATCAAAGGCAAAGTGTGGACCTTATTTGGATTTAATTCAAACTCTTAAAAAACCTTTTTTATGACATTTAGAAGACAACAAAAAATTTGAGTACTGACTGGATAATGTTAAATAATGACAGTAAAAAATAAAAGTCCTATATTTTAAATATATATACCAAAAATGTACAGGTGAAATTATATGATATATGGTATCTGCTTCAAAATAATATGGAATGGGGTGAAACCAGTAGATATACAGGCGAAACATGATAGCCATCAATTAATAAAGATTAAAGCTGGATGAGTTCATGGGTATACAATGTTTACCCACAGTATTATGTCTACTTCTGTGTATGTTTAAAATTTGTGATAATTGTTTAAAAACAAAATGACACTGGAAAACAGCTTGATGGTTTCTCAAAGGTTTCTAAACATTGAACCACATGATCCAGGAACTTCCACTCCTATGTATACATTTAGAAGAGCTGAAAGCAGGGATCTGACTCAATACTGGTATACCATCATTCACAGCAGCATTATTCACAATAGCCAAAAAGTGGAAAAAACTGAAGTGTCCATCAAAGGTTAACGGATAAACAAAATATGGAATGTATACATAATGGAGTATTTATTAGCCATAAAAAGCAATGACATTTTGTTACATGGATGAACCTTGAAAACATTGTTTAATGAAGTCAGTCAGACACAGAAGGACAAATACTGTAGGATTCCACTCATATGAAGTACCTAGAATAGTCAAATTCACAGAGACAGAAACTAGCATAGAGGTTACTGCTGTAGGGAGAGAAAGTGGAATTATTTCTTTAATGGGTGTAGTTTTCATTTAGAATGATGAAAAACTTTTGGTTATAGACAGTGATGATGGTTACACAACATTGTGAATGTATTTAATGCCACTGAATTGTATGTTTATGACTGGTTAAGATGATAATTATTTACGTATATTTGACCACAATAAAAAAAAAGAGGAATAACTGAATTCAAGTGCCAATTCTTCCTGTTTTGAGACTCAAGTTTTATCATCTATAAAATTAGCAACTGTAATAATCCTCTATCCCCTGAGCTTAGCGCAGAGTAAGCACTTAGGAGATACCAGTACTCCTACTACTTCATCAGCAAAGGACTGTTGTGAGGATTAACTAAGTTAATGCATGTGAAAGTACCTTTTAAATAGCAAAGTGATTTACAAATATTAATAAACATTGGGTGTTACTGTTGTCCAAGGCCATGAAATTGGTCAGAAGGATAATTCCATCCCATTGATATGCCACATAGGCCAACAGATCATATGGGCTTCTGTCTTTTATCAAGAGATATTAGGAAAAGAAAAGCATGAAATTTAGAGAGCAGTTGTCTTTTACCATGATACTCACATGCTCAGGCAACTGCTTAAAATAAGTGCTAAAGACATAATGGTTATTCATTTCTTTCCTTTTAGGGCTGCTACTATTCTTACTGAAAGTTTATTTCATTTTCAAAATATGGAACATGGAAGCTTATAAAATTTCTTCAGCACATAGCCTACTGTCCTATATTGCAGTTTAATTCATGTCTTTAATCTCATTTTGAGACATCAATTAGAAATACGTACTTAAGGAAACCACCAAGTTCCCTTTTTGAATTATTACCCATGGAATAAAGCCAGGATTCACCTTAGCATAAGATGATAATTCCTGAATTACTATGCATTATTACAGTATCAGAAAGTAGGTTCTTTTCAATGAAGGGTTCCATTTACCTCTGGTTTATAATAGCGGTGAGTATAAGTTAAATCAATAATTAGTCCAAGCTCTTCATTCTGTTTTTGGATTTTGTTAAAAAGATCCAAGGGTGAAAAACGTTCTTCTGGAGCAAGGTTCTTTTCAAAACTCTGTTAGAGAGAATGAAATAAGAAAGAGCAAACATGTGCTTAAAATCCTTTTCCATTTATTCAAGCCTTGTGATGCCAACACACAATGAGATTCAAAGCAAAGTTTCCATTCCGCTGAAATTTACAAGCTATGTTACAATCCTTTCTTCTAGAGATGAGAAGGAAGAAAATAAGCTCACTTCTAACCTATTTATTTCTGTGTTTGTTTTATGTTGATCTCCTAACCAGACTTTAACTCCCAGAAGGCTGGGACTGCATCAATTTTGCCCACCACTGTATCTCCAGCTCCATGTGGAACACCTATAAATAGGTACTTCCTTTTTTTTTTTTAAAGATTTTATTTATTTATTTTGACAGAGAAAGACACAGCGAGAGAGGGAACACAAGCAGAGGGAGTGGGAGAGGGAGAAGCAGGCTCTCTGCTGAGCAAGGAGCCCAATGTGGGGCTCAATCCCAGGACCCTGGGATCATGACCCGAGCCAAAGGCAGACGCTTAACGACTGAGCCACCCAGGTGCCCCTAAATAGGTACTCCTAAATACTTCTTGAATACTCATATATACGAAGGGTGGCTTTTATTGCTAAATATTCTTTTATGTATTTGGCTTATTTATGTACTCTACTCATGGATCTGTTTGGTTATTCAAATGCGAGCAACATGCTTTGGGGGGGGGAATTAATAAACTAGTTTTTAGAGCAGTTCTAGGTTCAAAGCAAAACTGAGCAGAAAGCAGAGTTCCCTCTTATACCCTCTCTCCTTTACCCCACACAGCTTTCCCCCATCAACATTCCAAACCACTGTGGTCCATTTGTTAGAATCAATGAACCAACACTGACATGTCATTTTCAAAGTCCACAGTTTATGTTACAAATCACTAGTAAAGTCCACAGTTTATGTTACAAATCACTACCTATTGTACATTCCATGGGTTTTGATCAATGTATGACACTATTTACCCTTATAGTATCACACAGAATAGTTTCACTGCCCTAAAAATCCCCTATGCTCTACCAACACTTTTAATACAGCCTTAATACCTGACAGGGCTACATGATCTACTTCCACCATTATTCTTCTTTTTCAGAATTTTCCTGGCTATTTAGGTTTACTTTTCTTTATGAGTTGTAGAATCGGCCTATTTGAGATGATGTTAAATTTATAACAAACTTAGGAAAATTTGACAGATTGATGATGTTGAGTCTTCCACATAATACTGTGAAAGTTTTGAAGAGTAAATTACAACAAGGCATACATACAATCTCTCCATAAGCTGATTGCAGACTTGGAGCTGATGGATCATATATCATCTCTAGCCACGTGAACAACTAACTTTAGGTAACTAATTTAAGTCACAAACCCTGTAGGAAGCCTTCCTGTCTGTTATCATTTCCCCCTCCTTTGAATTCCTTGATATTTCTTGCCATGGCATTTATGTGACACCTAACATACTCTATTTTAAATTCCAATGTGCATGAGAAGTGACAGTCAAGTATTGGGGCTGCTTTTCTTTGGCTGACTTCCATAAAACACACAGGAAACCAATGTGACATTTTACTCCCTGACTCTAAGCATGAATAAGACCTGCACTGGGGTGATTATGCAGCTCTGTAATTCCCTTTACAGTGCCTAAATAATCCCAAGGTTGAATACAGATAACCTGAGTCTACAGAGCGAGGAGGAGGCTTTTTATCACTCTATCATACAGGAAAGATTTGTGGCTGTGTGGAGGAAGGGAAACCGCAGAGTCTTCCTATCTTCTATCTTGCTGATGCACTTTTAGGCAAGGGGCTAAGCAGGGACCCTGGTAGAACTCAGGAATCCACTTTTAGAGGCCATGGAGTAGGGAGTTAGGGAATTAGGACAGTCTCACAGAGAAAAGAAGAAATACAGGAGATAATTCACAGTAACCACAAATGGGGGAGGGTGTCATTCCACACATATTTGCTCATATTTATTATATGCCAAACACTATTCAACTTATTCAACAGCACCACGCTTGGTGTTGATGGATGTGAATAAGAACCATATGTTTAGCTATATGAAAAGACTAGTTTTTAAGTCCAGATGCAGAAGAACTGACATAATAGGTAAGAACGGAACTCTGACCTATGAGTCACAAATTAAATAAATTCCCAATACACTCAAAGTGGGCTTTTTCAGATACCAATCCATTCTATGCTGGGCAGTTCAATGAGACATGAGTCTCTTCTCACCTTTTTTATACTGGCCAAATGCTTTTCCCACCTATTCCTTCCTTAGTTCAAACAAAAACACAATTTTCAGAATTTCCATGCTGAAATCCTGACTTACTAATCCAGGGCACTGGGGTTCTTTTTTGGGGGCGGACGGTTTGGTTATGATGGGAGTGAAGAGGTCTTATTAGCATTTAGTCAATGCGGATCATGGATGCTAGAAATCTTGCCGAATTCATACAATCCTACAAATGTGTCTCACACCTTTTTTTCTTCTTAAGATAAGAGACTTTATTGCCCTACAATTAAAAGTATTCAAACAGGGGCAACTGGGTGGCTCAATCGGTTAAGCGTCTGCCTTCGGCTCAGGTCATGATTCCAGGGTCCTGGGATCGAGCCCCACATCGGGCTCCCTACTCAGCGGGGAGTCTGCTTCTCCCTCTCCCTCTGCTCCTCCCCCTGCTTGTGCTCTCTTGCTCTCTCTCTCAAATAAATAAGTAAAATGTTAAAAAAAAATGATAATAAAATAAAAGTATTCCAACACTTATTTTTCTACATAACTTACTGTGAATGATCAGTGTTAAATAAAAATATCAATTTTCATCATCTGCTTCACTTCATGTCTTCTTAACCAATTCTTCATTTTTCATTCCAATTGCATGCGTTTGAGACAATGAAGAATTTTCTACCACCTTAGTTATGGACTGGAACATTCACCTGCAGCTACCTAAATGCTCATTACATGCAGTTGTGCTCCTAGTGGTTTTATCGCAGCCATCCTCAGAGAGTTTTCAGAAAACGTCAGGACGATCTTCATTCATCTTCACCTCACAGGCTCTGTTGCACCTCCAAGAGCCCAGTGACCGGCCTGTAGGTGCTGTTGCCCCCCCACATCGTGCCTCGGCGGCCACGCAGAGAATGACTTTTGAATATCCTATTCAATGCTCATACAGGTGAAAAACTGTTTCATAAGTATCTAAGCCTTAAAATCTAACTTCATTTCACAAATACAAGAGTTTTTTTTGCCTAGTTTTAAAGTACTTTGAATTTTCCAAGATAGTAATCACAGTATCAGCCAAGTAAAGGTCATATACTTTGTTTTATTTGAAAATCTACTAAGAGCTGTTCACTATCATGGAAATTCCTGCCAGTAAGGCAAGAAAATCCACCTAGTTCAATCTGCATTTGCAGTTTTTGTATTCATGGTGCAAGTTAAATGACTATGTTTTTATTTCTAATATAGTCATGCCCAAATATTTACATATTGAAATTAATACATATTACTTTATTGTAAGTTACTTTATTTATTGTTTATATTATTGGTTTCAGCATTACATTGATTTTTTTTCTTTAAAATTAAGTATGGAAGTAGTATTTATCTATGAATTTTATTTCAGAAGAGTAAAGGGGATATAACAAAGTATTTGCTATTAAAAAGGGAAAATGGAGGGCTGCCTGGCTGGCTCAGTTGCTAGAGCATGTGACTCTTTTTTATTTATTTATCTGACACAGAGAGAGAGCGCACAAGCAGGAAGAACAGCAGGCAGAAGGAGAAGCAGGCTCCCGATGAGCAGAGAGCCTGACATGGACTCGATCCCAGGACCCCGAGGTCATGACCTGAGCCAAAGGCAGATGCTTAACCAATTGAACCACCCAGGCACCCCCGCTTTTTTTTTGACCCCGAGATCAAGATGTGAGCTGAGATCAAGAGTCAGACACTTAACCAACTGAGCTACCCAGGCGCCCCTGAGCATGGGACTCTTGACCGTTGGGTCGTGAGTTCAAGCCCCACATTGTGTACAGAGATTACTATAAAAAATAAAAACTTAAGGAAAAAGGGGGGGGGATGGAGTGTGACATGGTCGAGCACCAGTGTTCTACATCATGAATTCGGATTTGTGAAATACTGAATCAACTTTTGCTCACCTTTTTCAAAGGAACTTTGAAAGCAATGAAACGAGTCCCAGGCATCCGTTGTCCAACTGGGAGGTAGTCTTTCCACCTATTAATACATTTTTTGTTAGCCAAATTTTATGTTAGCCCATCTCCCTGCATAGAATGAAGGCTCCCTGTAAATGGAAACCATAGCCCACACAATAGGCGCCCTCTTCTCTTTGCTTTGAATTCTGTTGTTCCACTTATTCAGCCCCACCTAGTAACAACTTCTACTGTCCTAGATACAAGGCAACAGAAAGCAGAGTTCCCTCTTATACCCTCTCTCCTTTACCCCACACAGCTTTCCCCCATCAACATTCCAAACCACTGTGGTCCATTTGTTAGAATCAATGAACCAACACTGACATGTCATTTTCATACAGGATATGGAATGAAAGTTCCATACAGGATATGGAATGAAAGTTAAGTGAAAAGGTCTCAACAAATAGGGCAGATCTAAAACCAGAGTTGGCCAGTACTTTTGTATCCCTGATAAAACCTAAACTAATCCTGATTACTAAGACGTCATTAATACATAACCTGTTGAGTGAAATAATTTAAATTCAATTCTTTCACTTCACAGTTTATTTTTAGTCCTTATACAAGTGATGCCATCAAAATCAGTCAATAGGGAACTTCAAGTTCATATTTTAAAAGACAACCTGATAAAAAAGGGACCGTGAACTTCACTTTGTAATGTTAGGAGTCACAGTGAAAAGTGATATTTGGGATGATGTCTTAGGATGAGTTAGTTAACTAAGGTTGTTGATTCAGTATAGCTGAAGTACAGAAAGTGATGACAAAAGTGGCACAAGATGGGGCTGGAGAAGCAAGAGAGGAGTCTAGAATATGCAGAGTCTTAAAGACCATGTGTAAAAAGTTTCTTTTTATTCTTAAAACAATGTTTTTGGTATATGTTTATGAGCAATATTCGGACTAGTCTATTAAAAGGACTTCTTGTGGGAAGAATGGATTGGAAGGCAACAAGAGTAGACACACGTACACTAGTTAGGACCTAACCGCCAACAGATCAGGCAAATTCTGTCTTAGGATGCTGACAGAGAGAAGCTGACAGAATAAAGATACTCAGAAGATAAAATGAAGGGGACTTGATGTAGGAAATGGGAGGAAAGGAAGGTCTCAAGGAATACAAGAGTTCAATGCACACACGAGCAAGGTCTCAAAATTAATCCTTTGTACAGAAGCAGCAGTCTCAAATGAGACGTGATAGGAAGCAACAGTATGTGATCCCTGTGATTCCTGGAAACAATATAAAATCAACTTTTTCGGTGGAAAGTTCGGACGTCCTGGCGGGGTTTTTTCACTTGAACTTGGTTCTTATTAGTCACATTTGCTATGCCAAAATAACACGGCTCGAGGAATTGTGGGAGACTCCAATTTGGTAATTAAGGGGTGTCCCCAACACTGGCAGCCCCATCTTAAAAAGCCGTCCCTCTGCATTTTACCGGAAAAGCAATGGCCAGAGCCTCGCTTTTAACAGAATGGGGAGAAATCAGAACCTCAAAGATGATCAGATACTGTGGGCGGAGCAGCGAGAGCATCAGTGCCTCCCAGCTAGGGCGGACCGGCCAAGTGCTCGGCGGAGACTGGGGCAGATAGACACCACAGGAGCTGGAGCCCAGGCCCGGGAGCTCCGAGCTGGAGGGCCACGCCCAGGGGCCAAGGCGGATTACCTTTCCGGGACGTGGTTTCCGCGCTTCTTCTTGGCTGAGCTACGTCCAGAGAACGCCCGTCCCTGGCCCCAGCCGCCGCGGGCATGATGCCACTGGCTCATCTGGGCCCCAAGATGCCGCCCACCCAACGGCAAGAGCGACAGAGCCGCCAGCCCGGGGCCCTCGGTGCCAAAACAAGATCCCGGACCGGAAGCGAATAGGCAGCAACCCACGCAGTTCCCAGGCCCTTTACTACTGCGCACGCGCCACCGACAGTCGTGATGACGTCACCACGCTGGCTGGCCGACTGTAGTTTGATTACTAAACAAGAGTCAGGGAACCACAGTGCCCTCCTAAGCTGGGGGCCGGTAGCGCAGGTTCGATGAGCGTGTAGGTACACTTAAGAATTCAAATAGTACAGGGTATGGAATGAAAGTTAAGTCCCACTTCTCCAGTGCCTTGTGTGGTTCTTCCAGATATTTTCCAACTGCTCACATTCATACTTATTGTGTGTGTGGGTGTTTATACACTTGTACATACATGGATATCTCCTATTTTATACAAAAGCAGTTAGTATATGTATCCTACAATCTATCTTGGGTACTGATTTTCCCAGTCAATTTATGCATACATCCGTTCTATTCTTTTTAATGCCTGGTATGCATAGTATTTCATTGATTATAAGAAACATAATCTATATATCCAGTCGAATATTGATGGACTTTTAGTTATTTTCAGGTTTTTGTTCTCTGTTACAGACAGGCTGCAATGTAAATGCCCTGAAATATGTATACGTCTATATCTAAATCCCTAGAGATACAACTGTTGGAGTGAAGGATATGTAGACTTAAAATTTTGAAAGAGACTGCCTCACTACCCTCCAAAAATACTGTACCAGCCTGCACTCCCACTCACGGTGAAACTATTATTGGATTGTTATCATGCACCAGGTTTCACATTAGAGGCTGACAGTAGGTATTTAGGTTATAGACAAAACAAAAAAATAACTGAGAGAGATAAGAGTAAAAGCTCAAGTCTAAGGTTGCCACACAGTATCAGGCATAGGGATCTATACCTGTTAGAAAAACTCTGAATTTCTGCTATACGTGGAACAGCAAAGGATAGCATGTCCTGTAGTAGGTCTGAAGGCAGAATAGAGTACTGAATTCCAGCTATAATAGCTGGGTTTTTTTGTCATTTGTATTTTTTAGTTTCTAATATCTGAAAGTATTTTATATACACAGTTCGTCTTCACAACCGCTTGAGATCTGGACAAACTGAGGGTCAGGAAGATCAGAGTTATTGAATAAATGATTAAATGAATGGGTAAAAAGATCACTAGCTTTAACATTTCTGGGACAGTCATATTCTAACCAAGTTTAAGTCCATAAGCATTTACAATTCTGAAAACTTACACATAATGTAAAACAGGTCAGTATTATCACATTGCTATTTGGAAAAAGAAAAGATTTAAGATAGCACAGCACATTTGTAAACTTACAATTAGGTACATTCAAATTTGGTGCTCAATCATAAAATATTTTTTTGGAATTTATGAAAAAAATATTCAATAGGCATAGAATGGCCAAAAAGTATGAATGGTACATATATCTACGAATATGATAATATATAAAAGGTGACTTAAATTTATCAGAAACTACAAAAGGTATATTGGTCTTGCACTTCCAATGTGCTAAAAAACACAACAAACTCAGTTATAATTGACACAAGAAAATCCAGACCTAGGCAGGGAGCCGGCTTCTCCCTCTGCCTGCAGCTCCCCCTGCTTGTGCTCTCTCTCTCTCTCTCTCTCTCTGACAAATAAATAAGATCTTTTAAAAAAAAACCTATATTCTACAAACATACCAATCAATGATATAAATGAGGTAATATGACAAAAAAAGTGAAAAAATATATTTAAGATTATTCTCTTTAGTGTAGAGAGTTCATGGCAGTTGCTGCACTATCTAGTTGCATAAATAACTTAATGACTATAAGATATTAAATACTAAAATATGTTATTATATAAGTTACATTATAATCAATGTTATATATGAATTAATATTATAATTATGTAAGTGTTATGCTCATATGTATATGTAAATTTACATTTATATGTATATGAACATGTATATAATTGTATGTTCTGTTAATACAAAATGAGGCCAAAATGTGTCAACTTACTTTTTTTTTTTAAGAGTTTATTTACTTGTCAGAGAGAGAGAGTGAGAGAGCGCACAAGCAGTGGCAGTGGCAGGCAGAGGGAGAAGCAGGCTCCCCGCGGAGCAGGGAGCCCGATGCGGGGCTCGATCCCAGGACCCTGGGATCATGACCTGAGCCGAAGGCAGACACTGATTGACTGAGCCACCCAGGCGTCCCAGTGTCAATTTATTTCTCACAGAAAGCAAAAATCCACAGGAATCTCTTTTTTCCTGTACTCTCCACACGCATGTTCCCTAGCCTCAAAGAATGTCCTCTTCTTTCTCTAACTATTCTCCTCTTCATGTTGCCTGATCTTGCGCCCAAGCATGGCAGGCAAAGAATCCTAAAGGCCCAAGATTCTACAGTGGCTGTTTGCAAGGGGGGTGGAGGCTACAGTAACTGCCACACTGGATACACTTAAGTGAGAAGGAAAAAGGGAAAGTATCCCGAATGCCATCAATGCCTTTTACCTATAAAAGAACGGGATGGCAGGATGCCCGTGTGGCCCAAAGAGTCAGAGGTAGCGAATTATGGGCAAAAGAATTGCAACCAAATGCTGGAAAAAGAAAGGTCTGCAATCAGCTGCGTTCTCCAGCTCTCTGGTATTTGCTTCTAATGGGCAGAATTCATTTTGGGAAGCATCAGGCACTGAAAAGAAGACTCCTGCTGCTGGAAGTTGACCAGAAGTAACATCCAGGAGTGTTAAGAATGCAAGATCAAGGCTTGTCCCAGAAACAGTGCCCATGATGAAAGAGAGAAGAGAGATCTAAGTCCAACCTGGCCCAGCCCAGCGCAGTCCAAGAAAGTTAGGATTCAAGGAGAAGAATGAAAGAGAAGAGCCTGCACCACATCATTCCCCGCAAGGTGCATTCAACGAACTTCACGCTATTCTTTAACCAAATTACCAAAGGACCTCTTTAATCCCTTCCTTTGCTCCTTAAAAGCTGCAGTAAGTTCACTAATCAGATTGACTATTATTTCAGAACACCTGTAATTGTTCAACCTAGATGTGCCTTTCCTTTGCCTCTAAGGGTGTTAATTAATTGTATATATAATTATAAATGTAGAATACACAAGATAAAATATGATATATAGAATATAAATAACTATTAGGTAATTATATCAATGAACATCTCTAAGAAACGTTGAGATGACTCCCCTAACATAAGATCCTGGGGAAAGTGAGACTATCACATCTGTCTTGTCGGATTAGGTACCACTTAGGTGTTGCCTTAGCTCTCCTACCACTCCTTCCACCCAATCCCGTCTTCTTTTTGGGAATCTGACCTCCCCATTGGTTCCCTCATACCTTTAAACTGCCTGCTTTGTGACATCATTCTCCCACCAAACCTACCACCACCTGGTAGAATCTTGGGGTTTCCATGGAGTTGTCTGTAAATAAATTTGGATCATCGCAAGTGACCAGTGACCGGTGACCTTCATACTGGACACATGCACTCCTTGGCTTCAGCTGCTCCGACACCCTCTAGTATCGGCTCCGCATCCCTTGTTTCTGCAGCGGATGTTTCCTCTTCTTCTCTGACCATGTCTGGTAAGGAAAGAAACTTTTAAAAGTTTCTCATTGGATTTTTTTTTTTTTTACCCTAAATGTAGTTGTAGATTCAAAATAGCACGGACTAATGGGGGAAAGTATTGAACTAAAAATCTGAGACCTCATTTCAGTTTTGACGTTGGCATTTACTAGCTGTGTGACTTTGGATGAGTCATTGACTCACAGAATCTGTTTTTTCCTCGTCTGTTATGTTAGGATGTTAGATTGGTTGTTCTCTCTGGTCCCTTTTTTTTCTAATATTGAGTCTTAAAGGGCACCCAGGGAGAAAACGAAATCAGAGACTTCTTGAGAGTGTTTCAACAGAAAGAGAGAAAACCTCGGTTACGTAGAAAACTAGCAATATTTGCCAAGATGTTTCATGTGAAATGGTCCCTCCACTAATATTTCAAATGTAGTATTTTAAATTTAGTGCTGTTCAGAAAGTCAGAGTCACATGATTTGAAGTTTTCTACCTGGTGTGGGTGAAAAGGGAAATCAGGGAAGGAGGATGGAGAAGAGTGGGCTCTGGGGAGGCAAGTCTTAAAAGGTGAGGAAGTTCAGGATTGTTTCCCTCAACACAGGCCAACGGGAACCAAGGGGGAGGAGAAAATACTAAGAACGAAGGGGATGCAGGGCGCCTGGATGGCTCGGTCGGTTGAGCAGCTAAGTATCTGCCTTCTGCTCAGGTCATGATCTCCTGAGATGGAGCCCTGCGTCAGGCTCCCTGCGTGTTCAGAGGGAAGTCTGCTTCTCTCTCTCTCTCCCTCTCTCTTTCCAAAATAAATACATAAATCTTAAAAAAAAAAAAAAAGAGTGAAGGGGAAGAGTACAGGAGCTTTCAAGAAAAAAAGAGGTAGTTTAGGATGGAATGTTGAAGGGAACCAAAGATTTTAAATTAAAGCAGAAAGAGCATAAAGTGAAATTTGCTTAGAGCAGGGCAAAACAAAGTTGATTTTAGCAAACACTTCCATTAATAGACAAGGCAGGAAAGGAAGGGCAGAATAGGGCCTCACCAGGAAAAGCAGCTTACAGAAAAGTCGTACTCAGCTGTTTAGGTTTTGTTATTGGCCCCCTGAACACAGATGGCACTTAACAGTTTAAAATGTAAACATTTTAGAAATACAATTTAGAAAAGATGCTTCTTATCAACAAGCAACTAATAAAAGTAGCTATCTAAGGGGGGATGGAAGAAACAGAATTTTCAGTTTTATTTCTTTTTTTTTTAAGATTTTGTTTATTTATTTGACAGAGAGAGACACAATGAGAGAGGGGGAGCACAAGCAGGGGGAGTGGGAGAGGGAGAAGCAGGCTTCCCGCGGAGCAGGGAGCCCGATGTGGGGCTCGATCCCAGGACCCTGGGACCATACCTGAGCCGAAGGCAGATGCTTAACGACTGAGCCACCCAGGCACCCCTCAGTTTTATTTCATTTTGACTTTTAAGCTATGTAGATGTTTTGCCTATTAAAGATCAGACTAAGTTTGTTTTAAAATTGGCATCT